CAAGGAGGTCCATGCCTGTATTTATCTCCGTCTTTCAATTCGCTTGCATTGCACCCACGTGTCAGCAAATCAGCAGGATTATCGATACCACAGCAATGTCTCCAATTTTCTGGTTCAGTTTTCGCTTGAACTTCCATTACTCTGTTCCCTACAAAGGGTTTCCAGTTGCTAGCACACCCCTTGATCCAATGTAAAGTCACCATGGAATCACTCCATAAATAATAATTGTTCGTTATGTGGAAAACACTTCTCAAGGAGTCTAGCACTCTTGCACCAAGGACAGCGGATAAAAGCTCTAGTCTCGGTAACGTAATTTTCCTAACAGGTGCAACTCGAGCTTTTGCAAGGACAAAGCTAACTTCATACTGTCCTGATTCATTCATGTATCTGAGGTAAGCTATAGTACCGAAAGCTAATTCACTAGCATCGCAGAAAACATGTATCTGAAAATCGATGTTCTCTCGACTAGACCTAGGAAAGTACCAACGAGGTATAATAATGTCTTTCAGTTTCGGAACTTCAAATGTCCATTTCTTCCATTTTCTTCTCAAATCATTAGGTAACTCATCATCCCATCCAAGTCCTCTTTGCCAAGTAACTTGCAACAATACCTTTGCTCGAATCGTGAATGCAGCTATAAACCCGATAGGGTCAAAAATCATGCATGATAGTTGCAAAATGGCACGCTTCGTGCAAATAGTACTTGAGAGAGAACAGTTTATGGATGATAAATCCAATTTCAGTTCATCTTTCACGGTGTCCCATATGACACCTAGTACCTTAATAGGAATCAAACTATTTTTGGAAGGTTCTTCGAATTTCGTTTCTTGCCAATATTGCGACAGTTCGATGCTGTTAGTTTTAAAGTCACGTGAATAGTAAATGTTAACTTTTGTTTTATGTATATGTAGTTTTAGTTCTCTATGTGTTTTGTCTCAATAAAGTTGTGTAATTAAAACCGGCATGGTAAGTGATTATTTTTCCCGAGACAAAAAAAACAACCTTTTTTCAGGGGCTAAGTCTGTTAAATAGAATTTTTGAAAAGACTTTGTATGCAGTGCAGAGCATACTGATACCCCGGTAGTTTGAACATTCAAGAATGTCTCCTTTTTTGTGTATAAGACAAACAGTGCTGTGTTTCCATTCTTCCGGGAGTATCTCTTTTTCCCATACCGATGTTAGAATATTATGTATGGCCTTTAACCCATCTGGTCCTGAGTTTTTGATGAATTCTGGTGATATCAAATCTGGGCCAGGAGCCTTGCTGTTAAGTTTTTGAACTGCTTCTTCAACCTCAATCATTGAAAGAGGTGCAATACATTCTTGGTTAACGTTTGGTAAACAGGACTCTGTCTGAACGCACTCTACAT